CACCTGCTCGTCTGGCCCAGCGCAGCCGAGACGGATCCGTGCCGCCATCGTGAATTCGCTATCCGTCAAGGGCTTGTCCTTGAAGGGGAGACGGCCCACAAACACTCGTGCCAGCAACTGGGGTCGGACAGGTCGAACAGGCGCTGCTCGTCTTCCCACGCCCCGCTCGCGCGGTGGCGCTGCAGGAGGCCGTACGCCATGGCGGCGTCGACGTACCTCACCAAGTCGCGCTGCAGCTTTGGGCCGCCGCTGCCCCGGGGCGCGGCGGGATGCTCGGAGTCCTCCGTCCCGGCGTCGGGGACAACTCCGGCTCCCGGCCTCCTGCTTCCCCGAGGCGCGCCGGGTTCGTTCTCTTCTTCTGGCTCTGGCTCCTCCCCGACGCACCAGGACCTCACCGAGCGGAGGCTGCCGCTGTGGCCCCGTCGATGGCGAGCGTGACTTGCTCGCGCACCTGCGTCAGCAGCGCCGCCAGCCAGCGCGCGAGCGCTGCCTCTGTGCGGGCGTCGTAGACGTGCATGAGTGCATGAGCATGTCAGTAGGGCACGAGCCCGCGTCGTGCAGATGCTCGGCCATGGCGAGCACCATCGGCCTGGACCCTGCCTTGCTGGCGATGAAAGCTGGCAAGGCGAGGCTGGACGCCTCGCGCATGCCCAGGCCGCCCGCGTCCACGCCCTGCGTGACCTGCACCTAAGCTTCGTCTGTCAGCCTGCCGAAGAGGGCGGCCTCGATGCCGCAGCGGAGGCCCGAGTCGAACTGCTGCAGGACCTCCGAGATCTGATCGCCGTCGCAGCGCAGGATGTACCCTTAAGTCGGGCGTGTTCCCCTACAGGGGGATTTTCGACGAAAAATAAAAGATACCTTCAAAATATTCCAAGTCCAAAATAAAGGCCAAATTATACGCAAAAAATAGTCCCCAGACAATGTTTGGACTATTTTTGGATTATTTTGGAGGGTATGTTTTATTTCTCATCGAAAATCCCCCTGTAGGGGGACAGGCCCGACTTAACGCAGGATGTACCCTGTTCTGCTGACGTCCAGGCACCGGCGCTGGAGGATGACCTCGCACTGCTGGCCGTCGAGCGTGTGGACTGCCTCCCAGAGCGCGGCAGTCTTCGCAATCACCTTCCGCATCTCGGCGTCCGCAGTCCCTGGATGGCCGACTCTCGCGCCCAGCACTTCGGCGGGGTCGGCGAGGCGACGCACTTTGCAAGGACGGGGAGGCATAACTGAGGAGGGGGCCTTCGAAAGGGAAAAGGGGAATATGGAGCTTCCAGAAGCTTGCGGAGAGGTCCCAAAGGGTCCCCGAAAAGGCCCACATTGGCCTCGACCTTGTCCTTCTCCTCCTAATCCTCCTCCTTTTGATTCTTCTCCTCCCTCTCCCTCCTTCTCCCTCCTCGCCCTCCGTCTTCTTCTGCCTCCTCCATCACCCTCCTCCTCCTCCTTTTCCTCCTCCTCCTCCTCCTTCCTCCTCCTCCTCCTCCTCCTTTTCCTCCTCCTCCTCCTCCTCTTCCTCCTCCTCCTCCTCCTCCTCTTACTCCTCCTCCTCCTCCTCCTCCTCCCCCTCCTCCTTCCTTCCTTCCTCTCTTCTCCTTCTCCTTCTCCTTCTCCTTCTCCTTCTCCTTCTTCTTCTCCTTCTCCTTCTCCTTCTCCTTCTCCTTCTCGTTCTCCTTCTCCTTCTCCTCCTTCCTTCCTTCCTCCTCCTCCCTCCTCCTCGTTCCCTGCTCTTCGGGGCCGTATCCTCGTGCTGCCTCGAGCCCGCCCCCGTGCCCGCCGCTCGCCGCCCCCCCTTGGCTCCGCGCCATGGCGGCCGCGGCACCTCCGAGGCGGGCCGCCGATCGCGCCCCTCCGCTGGGAGCGGGCGGGGGGGGGGGGGCGGGGGGCGCAGGGCGCGCCCGCTCCTTGCTGTTCCGAGGGCTCCTCCTCCTCCTCCTCCTCCCTCCTCCTCCTCCTGCTCCTCCTCCTCCTCCTCCCCCTCCTCCTCGTCCTCCTCGTCGTCGTCCTCCTCCTCCCCCTCCTCCTCCCCTCCTCCTCCTCCTCCCTCCTCCTCCTCCTCCTCACCCTCCTTCTCGTCCTCACCCTCCTCCTCCTTCTCCGCTCTCCTCCTCCTCCTGGGGAGGGGGGGGGAGGCAGGAAGGGGGGGGGGGGGAGGTGCGAGGAGGGAGGGCGGAGAGTGTGGAGGGAGGGAGGGAGGGAGGGAGGGAGGGAGGGGGAGCCAAGACGCGGGAGGAGGGAGGGAGGGAGGGGAGGAGGGGCGGGTGCAGGGGTCTGGTCTGTGCCCCTGCAGGGCGCAGCCCTTTCTGCGCTCCCCCGGCCGCGGCGCGCGCGAGCGCCACCGGCGAGGAAGCATGAGCCAAAAACGTAGCACCCCCATTCGGATGGAGAGCCTTTTTTTTCATCCTTCCCCGGCGATCACGGGCGTGACCAGGGTGGGGCGTCGAGTAATGCCTGTGCGGTCAAGGGGGGGAGACAGGTGCGCCTCTTTGTGCCCCCAGCAGGGACCTCTAAAGGGGCCCCTTGGGGCCCAAGAGGGGCCCGAAAGGCGCACGTTGCTTCCCTCGCTCGGCAGGGGGGAGGGCTGGGGGGTCGCCTCACGTTTCGCGCGCCGGCGCCGTCTGGGAAAACTTGGGCGACAGTTCGGATAGCAGGTCCCTATAAGGATCTGCTGGGAGTTCCTGAGAATATAACATGGTCTTGCTTTCTCCTCCCTCCCTCCTCCTCCTCCTCCTCCTCCTCCTCCTCCTCATATTCCTCTTCCTCCTCCTCCTCCTCCTCCTCCTATTCCTCCTCCTCCTTCTCCTCCTCCTCCTACTCCTCCTCCTCCTCCTCCTCCTCACCCATCCCTTCTCCCTCCGCCTGCCCCCTCTCATCGTCGTCGTCGTCGTCCAGTTCCTCCCCATACTCACGTCGCCCTCGTCGTCCCCAGCGTGTTGCAAGAGATGCTTCGCGCAAGGACAGGCGACTGAAGGAGGGAAGCTGGGAGGAGGGACGGAGTCAGAGCCCCGAATCATCAGGGGTAACTCGGGTCAGGGTTAACTCGGGTTCGTACTTCGGGAACCCAAACCAGAGTTACCCCGGACCCGAGTTAGCCCGGATAATTCGGGCGTCCAGAGCCCTACATGATCAGGGGTATCTCGGGTCAGGGCCAACTCGGGTTCCTTTTTCGGGAATCCAAACCCGAGTTACCCCGGACCCGCGTTACCCCGAATAACTCGGGCGCCCAACGGAGGGAGGCAGTGCCAGACAGAAACGACTCGTTTGATTACACCTGTGGCATCGATTCGTGCTCCGGGGCGGTCTAGGCGCTCGTGGGCCCCAGGGGGGAAGTGGCCCCGTCACCGTCGTCCTTCGCACCCTTCTCATCCTCGTCATCCTCGTCATCCTTCTGTGCCCACCCTTTTCCCTTGAACTCCTGCTTCCTTCGGAAAGTGAAGCCCAACGAAACGGGGCACTTGTCATGTTGGCGTCTTGCCATGGACTTGCACACAGCTGTGCGCATGACGTGGCCAGCCTGGGCGAGAGCTGGATGCACACGTGGCCGCATGTCTTTCCAGGGTTCGGCCCCCGGGTGGCTGAGTATGCCAGCCCTCCGCACGTGCACCCGGCAATCGGCCTCCGTGTGCTCCGCAAGTGTCCTCGGCTTGCTGGATTGTTTTCGTAACCCGACTATCGGAAGAACGAACGTTGCAGTGCGCTTCTGGTAAGGTCGAGTTGGACAGTGGCCCACGTGCGCTCCATATACCCAATTCGGCCTCAGCAAGGTCTAGCTGGGAAGTGGCATGTGCGTGCCCAATAATGGCCCCGCAGTGTCCCCGGATTCCTTCGACCGCGGCGTGGATCTGTGCCGTTGCGGCCAAACAGTGGATTCCATGTGCTCGCGCCTTTTTGCAGGCCCCCGGGTCTCATGGTGCACCCAAGGGACGTGGTGCACACAGATGTTGCTGCCAAATCCGTGGTATGTGTGTGTGTGTGCGCACATTGCTGTGCAATGAATCACCTCACAGCGCCGTGACATGAAGGGGACGGTCAGACGAGGAGTGCGACAGGAGGAAGAGGGTGGGGACGACGACGACGACGAAGTCATTCCCCCCCCCGGGCCCAGGGGCGCCCAAGCTCCTCCCGGAGCGCGCACCTACAGCACGTGCAGTCAAACACGTCCTTTCGGTCTGGCCCCGTCTCCCTCGCCCCCCCTCTCCGCCCGCTGGGCTCCCTGCCGCACTCGTCGGCCCTCGTGCGCAGCGGCGCGCGGTGCGTGGAGGAGGACGAGGGCGACGACGCCGACGGGAGGAAGGAGGAGGGATGCGGAGGCCGCGAAGGAGGAGGAGGTGGAGGAGGAGCAGGGGGGGGAGAGGAGGGAACGAAGCATATCTTCTTCTTCTTCTTCTTGCCACCCCTCAACGTTGCCCCCCACGTTGCGAACAGCCACCCGCACCCCTTTGTCGCAGGATCTGCACATCAGTAGCCTGGTGCCCGCTCTGCCGTCACAGATCCACACACACACACACGTATCTGCTCTCTGAGCTCTCTGGGCTTTCCCTTGGCATTCCCATAGGGCGCCGGCGCGAGTCGTGACGTGACCAGGGGTGGGCGGCCAGTCATAGGCGCCATCGCGAACAAGAACAAACCAGGCTCATGTCCGCGGCCTCGGAGTGGTGCCCCGGGGCCTCGGTGAGCGGCGGGCGGTGGCTGCCCGCCTTCTGGCGGGGCGGGGAGTGCGCAGGGAGAGCGGGGCCTCCAGAAGAGCGCGGAGGGCGCGAAGTGCCGTGCGCGACCCCAGGACCTGCGGGCGTGGGCTGCCCGCGGCGGTGCAGGAATGGGGGGGTCGGGGGCACGAGGTTCAGGAGGGGAAAAAACACACAGACACAATTAATCGTCGACCCCCAGGAAAATATGGGAAAATATAGGAAGTGGGGGGGAAGACAGAAACCCAGAAAATATAGGAAAATATGGGGAATACTCTTATTTGTGTGTGTGTATTTATTTGTGTGTCCTTGGGCCCCTTGAGAGGTTGGCTCGAGAGCCTGGGGGGGGGCTCAAAGCCCGAAGCCCCCCTCGCGGCCCCCGGCCGCGGCCCCTGCGCGATGCGCGGTGCTGCTGCCCGCGCGGGCTGGCTGTGCCTGCTCCTGCGCGCCGCCACGGTCGCCTCCACGGGAGGCGACGTGAGGGCGGGGAGGGGGGCGTGATGGCAGGCTGGGACCGGGATCGGATCCTTCCATGGCGTTCCGTAGCTCTCTCACCGCTTTCCAGGGCCTTGGCATCGCTCGGACGCGTGCAGTTTTCCTTCGGCGAGGACCATCGAGGAGCATCCCTGATCATTTGGCGAACAAGCCACGCACGAAACCGAACAAACACACAGGGAATGGACGTCCGAGCGATGGCCAGAGGGCGTTCCAGAACGGCCGTGGCGCCCAGTGCGCACCCCAGGACCGCTGGATCTCAGGTCGGCGTTGCCCCAACATGCGGACACCATGTGTGAGTCGCCCCCCTCCAGGGGCGACGCGCCCACCGAGGGCTCTTGCAGTAGATGCGTCGTGGCGGGCGCTCTCTGGCCACACCGCTCGGGAAACGATCCACCGAAGGAGGGGTAAGCAAGAAGGTTCGGGTCGGACGTGCGCCTCCAAGGAGGACGCAGAGTACCAGTATGTCTGCGTGTGCGTGTCCCAGCAAAGGTCCCCGATCTGTCCCGGCCCGATGCTGTCCTGGTCCTGCCATGGCCTCAGCGGGAGCGGGAGCTGCGGACGCGCGCGGGAGGAGCCGCGCTCCGTCGGCGCGGGCGCCCTGCCCGCAGCCCCGGCGGCGCCGGGGAGATGCGTGGGGAGGTGGTCGGCGCTGGCGGAGGTCGACCCTCTGCGGATGTCCGAAGCCCATATTTTTTTTGGGCCACGCGCAGAGGGGGGAAGGCTTCTTCTCTGTCTACATGTAAGGCCGGCGCCTTCTGAGAAGCAGCCTTCCAAGAAGCCTTGCCCCCTCCCCCTGCACCCCCCTCTGCGCGCCGCCAAGACTCAGGAGGGGAACAGACACACAGACACAATTAATCGTCGATCCCCAGGAAAATATGGGAAAAGATGGGAAGTGGGGGGAAGACAAAAACCCAGAAAATATAAGAAAATATGGGCGATATTTTTATTTGTGTGTATTTATTTGTGTGTTCTGGGGCCCCTTCAAAGACCTGGTTCCACCGTGTCAGGCGAGGAGAATGGCAGGCCCTCCAGCGACGAGGTCGCCTTGCTCGTGGCGCCAAACGGCGCTCTGCACCGGGTCGGGTACCAGAGGAGGCAGCAGCAGCAGCAGCCCTTCCGCGACTTCGCCGCGAAGCATGGCCTCGACTACCACGAGGGCCACCCAGAGTACAGCCTGCGGAAATCGTTGTTTGAGGCGCGGGTCGAACAGGTTCGGGGGGGCGCCAATTTCAGGAGAGGAAAAAACACACAGACACAATTAATCGTCGACTCCTAGGAAAATATGGGAAAAGATGGGAAGTGGAGGGGAAGACAAAAACCCAGAAAATATGTGAAAATATAGGGAATCCTTTTATTTGTGTCTATTTATTTGTGCAGGGCCCCTTCACAATTGTACACGCCGGTCGTTGAAAGCATGTCTTTTTGGATTCCCAGATCCCAATCTACTTCAAGCGCCTTCCTACTTCAAGAATCGACGTGCTTTCCGGTTTGGCTGGTGTAGTGTGGAGTCGTATTGAAAATGAGCATTCGGGCAGAATCGTATGTAACTGGTCTGATCCTGGGGGGGTCGGTGCACACGGGGGTGCGGGGGAAGATCCGAATTCCCTTTCCAAGAGAGCTAATCAACGTGGCGCGATCTGTTCTAGGCGTTCGACGTTGTGCGCCTTATGCGGTGCCATATGTGTGTTGCATTCCGGGTTGTGCAATCTATCTAATGCAATCTACGTTGTGCAAAAAGTGTGGTGCAATCCGCCTTGCGCAATATATGTTCAAGATCAGCAGGGCGGCGACGAGGTTGCGCCGGGGCGGTGGCGGCGACGACATAGCTGCCAGAACGGCCCAGACGACGGCGACGTGGGTGCGACGGGGATTACAGAATTCACAGCCAGAGCGGCACACCGGCCCAGACGACGAGCGGTGACGAGGCGGCGACGGGGCGGCGACGGCGATTCAGAAAACGCCAGAGCGGTACACGAACCAAATTCCAAATAACAGAAGTATGAGCCTCTAAGTGCAAGCAGTGTTTGGCGAACTGTGAGTGTGGTTTGGAAGCACGAGACCTCTTTCCCCCTTTTAAACATGATTCTTGACCCCCTGGTTGGACGCCCCAGAGAACAAGCGAAGCTTTTGGACGCGTTATAGCGCGGATGATGATTAGTTATGTATCGTCCGCCTCTCCCCTCCTTTTCTCCTCCCCAGGCTCTTTCTCATCCTCCTCGTCATCATCAACCTCCCTCCTCCTCCTTCCTGGTCGGCGAGATTCGTGTCTGACCAGGGTCTGCCAATTCGCTTGCCGAGTGATGGCGTATTCTTTCCTCCGCTGTCACTCATGCGCAAAGGATAGATGAAGATGGTCAACGAAATGCCCTCGCTGCAGCTGGGTCTCTGTTGCCCCTCCATCCAGCTTCCACTGCATGCGCAAGGCCTGACCTCCTGAACTGACGAGAACTGTTTTTTTGTAGTTGCGTGCCCGTTGGGAGGACGGTTTCCCCTTCCCCTGTTCCAGCCATTTGAAACACGCTGAGCGCTTTGACACGCTACGCGGTGAGGGCCACACGCTAAAATCTCGTCCTTGCGTTGGCGTGGCCGCGAAAGGAGGCGCGCTGAGTGCGGTTTTCTAATGGTCGGCTGTCTGGGTTCCGCGATAGCTCTCCCAGGTGCGCGCGAATCGTGTTAAATACGTGCTACCCGTTATCCGCAAACCTCGCATCACAGGTGACATGTACGCCACCTGTTGGTAAAGCACATTCCGAATGCAGCCGGGCAAGCGCGTCGATTTGTTCCCGAAAAGTTGTTATCGGTCACATAGAAATTCCAAGTTGGGAAGGCAGTGGTGTCCAGGTTGTTCTGCATCCGATGGTGTCTGGCGAGTGTCCCGATTGATTGTTCGATGGTGTCCCGATTGATGTTCGATGGTGCCCCGATGAATGCCTCTGTTGATAACATGATGGTGACGGGACTGAATTTTGATAGTGACATGATGGTGTCCCAATCGGTTTTCGATGGTTGCCCGATGGGCGTCACGATGGCGTTGTAATTGATCTGGAGGTATTCGATTCCTGCCGTCGGCATCCCTCGTCTTGATCTTCTTCGTTTTCATCCTCCCACCCCTTCGGTTTCTCTTCTTCCTGTCCGCCCAAGGGGTTTCCCTTCTAGCGAATCCTCTGTGATCCATGAAGGCTCCATTAGCCCTGTCGTGGGTCCTCTCAGGCAAACCCCTGGGCACGATTCCCCAGTTAGGCTTTGTTTAAGGGTCTCTCACCTGTTTGTCTAACGCGTTTGGCGTTGCCGCATGCTCGCCGTGTTCTCTTGCCCACGCGCGTTTGGCGTATGGCTGCTTCACTTCACTTCACCTGTTTGTCAGAAGCCGGTGGGTGCGGATTCCTTTCCCACTTGCGCTGCTCGGGGCGTCCCAGGGTTGCCCAGGGTTGCCTGGGGTGGCAGGGAGTTGCACAGGCTGCCCATGGCGTTACTCGGGGTTGCCCGGGGGTTGCCCCTTGCCCGGGTGTTCCCAGGCAGTACCAATCAATGCCACGCAGTGATAAGCAATATGGAACAATGCAAAGTAGTGCCAAATAGTGCCATGCAGCACAAAACAATGCAAAGCATTGCAACGAACTTCCAGGCAAGACGGCAATGCCAAGCAGCGCGAAGCAATGTCATAACGACCCCAAGCACTGCCAAGCAATGCCTTGCAATGCTCAGCAATGCGAAGCCAATGCCAACCAATGCCAAGCCAATGCAAATCCAGGCCAATCAATACCAAGCACTCCCAAACATAGCCAGCCGATGCCAAGCGGTGCCAAGACATGCGAAGCAACGACAACCAATGCCAAGCAACATACATCGATCACAAGCAATGCCAAGGAATGCCAAACACCGCGAAGCAATACCAAGCAGTGCCAAGCACAGCGAAGCAACGCCAAGCTGCGCCAAGCAGTACGCATCGTGCCAAACAGTACCAAGCAGTATGCCGGGTGCCAAGCATTGCTACATGGCTATACTGTGCACTGTTCAGAACTGTTTTGACATGTGTTGGAAAGAGAAGACCCCTACTTAGGGTCGCGCCGGGTTTCATTGCTGTTGCTTTGGAGCCTACCAGGCCTCTAGGGGTCCTCTGGGCGCTCTTGGACGAGTGTTCGCCCCTCCTGCGTGCTCAAGTCGCGCAGAAGCGACTTGGATGCATCCAACTTGATGTCACCAAGGATTCGCACCCCGGGAGCGCATAGCCATCCGAATTTACAGAGGATCGTGGCCCTGGGTGCGACGCACCGGAATTTCAATCCGATCGTGGCCCTGGGAGAGTGGATCCAGCGTGCTTTGCGTTGGGTCGTGTCCTCGGGAATGCGGATCCCATGCCATTTTTTTTTTCCAGGATCGTGGCATCTGGAGTGCAAGACCACTACCACTTACAAAACATCGTGGCCCTGGGAGCGCGGATCCCGCGTGAAGGAGGGACGCCCTGGGAGCGGGGACCCCGAGTGATCCACGAACGACTCGGAGCGCGGACCCACCGCAGGTTGCAAAAGGCAGGAACTCCTTGGGGGGGCACGGCCCAGTGTGGTTTAGAAGGCACCGTGGCCTTGGCAGCGCGGAGCGCGGACCCCAGCGTGCTTTGCAACGGATCGTGGCCCTGCGAGCGCGCATCCGGCGTAATTCTCGAGGGATCGTGGCCCTTGGATCGGGGATCCAGTGTGATGCGGGAGCTGTCGTAGCCCCGAGAGCGCGAGCCGCTTGCATTTTAAGAAGGGCCTCGGGCGGCAGGGATCGAATGGCCAGCCCTCCTTTCCACGGAGAGATTCGACGACCGCTTGTGGGCGCAGGGGGGGGGACCTGCAGAGCAGGACGTATACAACTAGTACATCCAACCTCCTGCAACACCACAGCTGCACTGAAGCTAATGCAACGTTGTCTTCTCAGCGTGGAGGCCCACGAGCGGGCCGACGGGTTTTCAATGCTGTCCCGATGGTGTTTCTCCCGATGGTGGTGTCCCGAAGGGTGTCCGATTGATTATTCGATTCTGGCCCGACGGAGTCCCGATCGATTTTCGATGGTACCTCACTGGTGGTCTGATCTATCGGAGACGGTGTCCCGAAGGGTTGACCCTATTGTTTGAACGACGGCCTCGATGATGCCTTGATTGATGTGTTATCGTGTCCATGGTGTCCTTGTGGGTATCCCAACTGATCTTTCGACGGTGTCCCGATGCAGTCTCGATTGATTTTCGATGGATTGTATCTCGATTGACGTCCCTTTGATGTCCTGACCGCTTTTCGCTTGTGTTACTTATACGATAATATTACTGTTGTGTCCCATTGTTGGCAGCATCTTCCTGATTATCTTCACGAGCTTCATCAGCACCCAGTTGGAGTAATTTCGAAACTGATCACGCCCCACCCCACCGACGGCCAACCTCCTCGTCGGCTGCACGCCAGCCTGCTCGGTAATTGGTTGGCGTGCTCCTGCAGGTGGTTAGAATACAACTCTTGGAAGATTGATTTCAGCATCTGCGCTGGTATATCCGTGGTCCGAAACTGGCCTAATCCAGCCCAGTCCCGTTCAGTCCCGTCTCATCCGGCTCAGTGTTGCTCACTCGGGGCTGGTGGCCGTTCTAATCTGGTGTAGTAGCCCTCAGCCGCTCCCGCGAAGACTTCCCAGGAGTTGTCTCCCACAGGTGGAGCGGCACAATGCCCGAGCCCACGTCGCCTGGCGTGCCGGGGTCAACAGGCTAGCCGCCCACACGCAGGAGGAGCTGGCGCGGCTCCGCGGCTACGTCCGCGGCGGCGAGCGCACGGAGGGGGCAGTGTCCGTGCCGGGGGCGGGCCGCCTGTCCATGCTCCAGGTTGATGGTGTTCCAGCCTGCTTTTTAGCCTTGTGGAGGACGATCAATGGAGAGGAAGCATGCTGCCAAACAGGTTCCAGATGCCCACCACATGTGTTAAAGACTGTCTTCAACATGTAACAGACATGTTTTAAACATTTTCCAGAACATGTTTCCGACATTTTAAGCACATTCGATGATAGGTCTGTTAGGGTGTCCATTGTCGTGGCGTCCACAAGCCTTGACCGCCAGAAAGAATTTCGAGCGCCAAGGAAGTACCGAAACTGGAGGGTCTTCACGTGCCGGGCCCTGGGAGGCGATGCTCGTTCGGCACTGTTTCGATACCGCTCGGGGTGCTCGAAATCCTTTTTCGGGTTCGGTCCTCGCGTGCGGTGGGAGCAACATAACTCCAGGTGCCCTCCAGGCCAGCCCGGGCCGAGGACCTCCCAGAGACCTTCGGCTGGCAGGGCAGGCTCAACGCGACTTCTGCCGCCGTGGACCAGGGTGGTCACTTACTTGCCAAGCCACCCCCGCCCCACCCGAAGGTCCTGGGCCACCCAGAATTCTGGGTCGGGGGAGGCGTACGGGTTCCACCGTGTGGCTTGGTAGGTAGTCAGGCGGATGCGGCAGCTGCTGGGCCGTGGCATCTGCCGTTGTTCTGCGGGCTCATTCGGAGCTGTTCCAGAGCTACCGCCACTTCTCGGCGCAGCAGCTGGTGTCGTGCGCGCCCAACCCGCACAGGTGCGGCGGCACCGGCGGCTGCGCGGGCGCCACGGTGGAGATCGCCATGGACTACGCCGCGAAGATGGGGCTCGTGACCGAGGACGAGTGGCCCTACACCGGCGAGGACAGCGAGTGCCCCTCAGCGTTCAGGTTGGCAAAGGTCAGGAGGGGAGAAAACACACAGACACAATTAATCGGCGATTCCCCGAAAATATGGAAAAATATGGGAAGTGGGGGGGAAGACAGAAACCCAGAAAATATGGGAAAATATGGGGGATGTTTTTATTTGTGTGTATTCATTTGTGTGTCCCAGTTCCCCTTCAAAAGGGGGATGCGCTCGACGCCGGCGTGGCGGGCGTCGCCGCCGGCCTGCTCGCCCACAGCGAGGGCGCCAGGTCGGGCGGGGGCGCCGTGTCGAGCCTCGCTCGCCTCCGCAGGCTGGCGGGGATGGCCGCCAGCCTGCTCGGCTACGGCGGGGGCACCGTCACCGCCGCGGACGTCGGCCTTGTTGGTTTTCACAAGCTGCCCACCAACAAAGTCGCGGATCTCACCACCCACCAAACCACCCCAACCCAACCCGAAGGCCCAAATTTATCCTCGATTTCCAGTGGGGGGGGGTCGGGGAACGTTGAAAAAACACATGGTATCCGTACCCCCCCCAACCCGAAATTCGGGTCAAATTCGGGTCTTCGGGTTGGGTTGGGGTGGTCTGGTAGGTAGTCAGGATCTGATGCTGTCGCTCCACAACGTGGGTCCCGTCGCGGTCTCCGTGCGGGCTGACAGCGGGTGGAACATGTACGAGAGCGGCGTCTACGACGGGTGCGTCGCTGGAGATCCCATCAACCATGCCGTGGTGCTGGTCGGTTATGGTACGGACAAGAACACAGGCTTGAAGTATTGGCAAATTCAGAACTCGTGGGGCGGTGACTGGGGCGAGAATGGCTTCATTCGTCTCAGCCGTCTCAGCAATGAGGATGAGGAGGCCAACTGCGGCTGGGACATGGATCCACTTGAGGGCAGTGGCTGCCCAGGAGGGCCGTCGAAAGTCTGGACTTGTGGCTCGTGCGGCATCCTCTTCGACACGGTCGTACCGCGCTTCACCGAGAGTCAGAAGGGTTGGTGGGCGAAGAACGGCGGGACGTCATCATGAGCGTGCACGCTGCGAGAGTCTAACGGACAGTCGTCAGCTTGGGGGGGGGAGGGGCCTTAGCGCCGCTAGAGTGGTGGAGGTGGCGTTTGGGGTGGGTGAGCGGCAGACAGTCCCGACGCGGGCAGTGTTTTAGCATTCAGATTGCCCTTGTCCTTGTCCCTCCAGCGCGGGGAGTTGTGAACAACTGGTTCGCGCAGGAGGGGTGAGCCCCCAGCATCAGAAACAGCGTCTCCTCCTTTGATGTTCCCGTCCCTACTCGTTCTCTTGTTTCTTCTCGTTCGCCGCACGGGCCCCGACCAGGATACACGCAGAATTCCAGGCCTCCTAGATGGGGTCGGAGTAGATGGGGACAGAGCCCCTCACACACGCCGACAGGGCCTCGCGAAGGACGAGGCCATTCTCGGGGAGGGGCCTCGCAAGGATGATTCCTATCTGTCACCGCATGATGTTCCCAGATGCGCCAAGGCAGCGCCGAGACGTACCGACGCGACGCTGATGTGTCCTACTATGATAAGAGGGGGGGCCGGCGGCAGGGGGCGAAGCCCTGACGGATAATCGAAATAGCCAAAGGAGCACGAGGAAATCGTCACCAGACTATTCCTGTTACTTGTCTTGCAGAAGCCCTGACGGAGAATCGAACTAGCCAGAAAGGAGCACGAGGAAATCGTCGCCAGACTATTCTTGCTGCTGGTCCTGCAGATGCCTCCCGCAGAGGGGCGGGCCCGACGGAAGAGTCCCGCGCCTCGGCGGCCGCGCCCTGCGCGAGAGATCACGCCGTCCGATGCCCGGGCCGATGCTGGGCCCAGGAGCGGCGCGCGCGCGGGCGCGACGGATAATTATGGGCTGCTGGGAGGCACAGGAGGAGAACAGAAGCAGCACAGGCAGGGAGAGCAGGCGGCAAACGGCGTAGAGTAATGACAACCCGGCGCAAATTACCAGCCTGGAACATATCCCTATCCCTAGGCTGGGCACCTCCTCATCACGATGCGAATCTTAGGGATTCCCTTATTCTTTGAGGGCGAATCTCTGAGATTGTCATCGCCTTTTGGCGTGTCAATCTTAGGGATAGGGATACGTTCGAGGCTGGTAGACAAACATAAACTTCTTGCGCTACGCGCGGATTTCTTGGATCTGCGCTGGATCCCCCCCCCCTCGCTGGCGCGCGGAGCGCGCAAGGGGCGGCGCAGGAGGCGCCGCCGGGGGGGCCCAGCGCGGATCCAAGAAATCCGCGCGGGGCGCCAGCAGTTTTTTTTTTTTTTTTTTTTTTTCTTAGAAGGCAGCCCCAGCTATGGCGTCGTCGTCTTCGGCGTCGGCGTCGTCGTCGCCGTCGCCGTCGTATGGATCTAGACGGCCCCTGGGAGAAGGAAATCTGAGCATCCCGCGGGGCTCGTGTCCAAATCCCTCCTTGGGAGAACACCCCTCTACCAGCCCCCGAATTCAGAAATTCAAATCTGGCACGAAAAACTGCGCCTGGGGAAGAGGTCAGCATTAGGTCGGGCATGTCTTCCTACAGGCGGATGTTAGATGAAAAAGTTGAAACATTATCCAAGCATGATCAAACAATCCGCCGGCCCCCTTGTGGGACCATCAGGCTGCGAGTATTAGGCTTGCCGCTCCCTGCGCCAGTTCCAGTCTTCAGTTTCCAAAGTTACAGTCTTGCTTTCTGCTTCCTTTTGTAAATTGTTGAAGTCTGCGCGAGGGGGTGGAGCCCCCGAATCGCGTTCTCTGCATTCCTGCGGGGCAGAAAGACATCGAGATTCGCGCTCCCGACGCAATAACCCCTCTAATTCGCTGTACTCGCGCCCCCGAGGCCGCAATGCCTCGCAAAATGTGCCACGTTCGCACCCCCGAGGCCACGATCTCTTGCAAACTGCACTACGTTCGCGCCTCTGGGGCAACGATCCCGTTGGAATCACGCCACCATGGTTCAGTCGGGCCTGTCCCTCTACAGGGGGAATGTTCAAAAATAGTCACAACATCGTCCGGGGACTTTTTTTTGGAGTATTCTTTGGCCCTGTTGGAGCATTTTTGGGGTATTATGTTTTACCTTTCGCCGAAAATCCCCCTCTATGGGGGGACACGCCCGACTTCACGCCACGGTGCTGGAGCCCGAGGGCGGGCTCCCGGCGCCAGCGGCCCCGAGGCCGACGCCGAGAAGCCCCGGGGCGCGGCGCGGGCGCGGGCAGCTCTCGCCGAGCCCCTGCCCTCGGGGGCCCCCCCGGGGGCTCCCCGCGGCTCTCTCGGGCCCCGCCCCGGCCCTGCGCGGCCCGCTCGGGACGGCCCGGGCGCCCCCCGGCGAGGCGCCGCCGACGGAGCGCACCCCCGAGGCCGGCGACTGCCGACGGCGGCCGACGAAGGCGTCCGAGCAGCTCGAGTCTCGCCGCGCTCCTTCCGCCCGCAGCCGCCATGGCTCGAGGCCCCCCGCCGCGGGCCCCCGCCGCGGCGGCCGCCGCGGCGGGGCCGCCCGGCCCGCGGCCCGCCCTGCGGCTCGCTGCGAGGCCGGGCGCTGTCGGGCGGCCGCCCTCGTCGGCGGCGTCGTTGAGGTCTGCCGCGTTGTCGTCGTCGTCGTCGTCGTCGTCGTCGTCGTCGTCGTCGTCGTCGTCGAGGTCCCCAGACATCGAAGGTCATGAGACAATCAGGACGGAGGTTTGTTCACGCAGCTTCTGGCCCCTGGAGACTTTTTCGGGGCCCGGGGCCGCCACGAGACGACTTTATGGACGGAAGGCCGGCTCCGAGGAATGGGCCGAGTCCTCCAGGGACCCCGTATGGGAAAAGTCCAGATGTCGGAGCTCTGAGTCTGCCGCGTTGGACGGCTTCGTCGAGGTCGTCACCGTCGCCAGCGTCGGATCAGAGGGGAGCAGGGAGGAAGGATGAAGGAAGAGGGAGAGGGGAGGAGGAGGAGGAGGAGGAGGAGGAGGAGGAGGAGGA